TGACAAGGCGATGGGAGTAATGTTCAGCTATGATGGAAAGTTGGATTCGAAACTTGATGCACACTTCCAGAGCGCCTTACTGTACACGACAGCAAGTGGTGAACGAAGAGTCAGGTGCTCAAATGTCATTGCCAGTGTCAGTGACAATGCAAAGGACTGTATGAAGTTTGTAGATCAGGATGCTGTCTATACATTGATGGCGAAGGAGGCTGCCTCGAAGATGATCACGAACTCCCTGAAAGATATTCGTGGTGCCTTGACGGAGAAGAATGTTGATATTCTTGCTGGGTATCGAAAGAACTTCTCTGGCTCGCATCCTCCAGGCCAGCTTGTTCTACCAGAGAACCTCAAAGAGTTCAGCATGTATGTCCTTGGTCTCATCAAATCACGAGCATTTAAGGGTGGACAGGAACCTACCGATCGACGAGTTCACGACATGCGGATGATCAAGTCAATGGGTGCCCTGGAACTCTCACTCTACCTCTACCCACGAATGATTCCCATCCACAACCTTGCACCTGAAGACGGCTTCCCGAACCCGGAAGGTCACCTCCACATGCCACCTTCGATACGATGTTCATTTTCTCGCGTAGAGGAAGGGGGTGTCTACCTGGTCGATAACGGACAGAACTGCTATCTCTGGATGCACGCCCAGACATCGCCCAATCTTCTCGTCGATCTGTTTGGCGAAGGAAAAGATAGTCTCAAGGCACTGGACCCATACAGCTCCTCGCTACCAGTACTAGAAACACATCTCAGTGCCCAAGTACGGAACATCCTCGAGTATCTGAAGACGATGCGCGGATCGAAAGCTTTGACGATTCAACTCGCTCGGCAGGGGCTCGATGGTGCGGAATACGAGTTTGCGAGATTGCTGGTTGAGGATCGGAATAACGAGGCGCAGAGTTATGTGGATTGGTTGGTGCATATTCATCGGCATGTGCAGTTGGAGGTAAGTTCACTTATTCTTTCAAATTGCACACGTACTGATGTGTTTTAGTTGACTGGTCAGAGGAAAAAGGATGACGGTGGTGATAACTCGATAGCATCTAACTTTGCTGGATTGAGACCTCCGTATTGGTAGAAGATTAATAATCCATCAGGGGGGAGGATAGTTGATTTTGAGGTGCCTTGAGTACATTTAGCGAGCATAGAAAAGTACATTTTCCAGAGTACATGTCCTTTGACAAGCCCCATTTCTAGTGCATCTTGGTCTCTTGTTTTTGCGAAGCTCTCATAATGGAGCGAATAGACATGATCATTGGTGTGGCAGGCGAAGTCAGCTGTCTGCAGCTTACTCATATTGCTACTAACACCTCAACTACTACCTCTACCCGACTCAAATATTGTGCTGATGAGGTACAATGTCCAGCAGCGCCTCGCACGCGTACTCTAAGCCCATGCAAGACCTACAATTCTTGACATTCACGGACATCGCTCAAACCCGGGATCCGAAAACGAAGAAGAAAGTTCGCAGCCATATTCAGCATGGGCGACAACGCAGTCTTGGGCATGGCAAACACAACAATAGGAGAGGAGAGGTTGTTCTCGATACATCTCTGCTCGTTCAGCACAATGCAAGCTCAGCATATCCGGCCAACGAGTCGATGAGGGTTGCTCCATATGTACCCCATCCAAGTGACATTGGAGCTGGCCGATCAGATCCCTTTAGGCGATATCCAATCAACATGACCATCCGAACTCACGAGCTATTTGATCACCGTAAGTCCACCTAAGTAGGCACATTTCAACGCTAAATTTTCAAATTACACAGTGCATGGAAGGGATTGTTCGATGTTCAGAACGCTGAGCAGGATAGGATTTTTCCAGGCTGTACGAGATGAGACGGCGTTCCGACAGATTCTCTATACGTCATCGGCTCATATGGGGAGTCTTCGCAAGTCCAACGAGCTGGATCTCGAATCCATCTCCCTCTCGACGACGGCTATCCGCTCGCTGAGCAAGCTTATTGCAGACCCTGTCTTGTGTACTGATGACGCCATCATCATTTCTATTCTTGCTTTTGCATGCCATTGTGTAAGTACATTTGGAGTTGATATATAGAGTGGGTGAACTGCTGATCGCGGAAAGGTGATGTTTAATGATGCGCAGGGCGTTCTTACCCATTTTCATGGTCTGGAAGAGATAATCAAACGGAAAGGGGGAATACATGTGGTTGGTTCCGATCGGCTGCTGAGAACCATGATCTTCTGGTAAGCCCTGGCTTCGACTGATGAAGTCACCTGGGGTCAAGCTAATGCGTTCAGGCTTGACGTTAACGCCGCGTTTCTCTTTGACCGTCCTCCTCACTTCGCTCCGCCCTATGATATTCTACCTCACCTCAACGCTGATCTACCAATCTTGAGCCTCAGCTCGCATCTCCTGGCAATTTGCAACACACCAAGCCTTCTCTCCGCAGTCACCGACTTACTTGCCCTCAACCAAATCTTAATCCGCGAATTGGCAATCAAAGATATCTGGAACGACGAACTCTTCGCTGGTTTGCACATCGTACCAGTCATCAGCAAATTTCTCTCTATCACTCACAACACCATTGAGAATCCTTCGCTTGGGAAACAAGAGGCTCTCAGGCTTGCCACCCTGTTGTATCTGGCAGGCATACGTCGGCAATTTGGCGTACACTTGCAAACAGATATATACGCTTCGAAGCTTAAGCAGTGCTTGGAACCCCATAATTGGGATGGTGGAGATGAGGTCTTACTTTGGCTGCTCTTTGTTGGTGGCGTCACATCCTTCTCGAATGAAAATCATGACTGGTTTCTTTCAATAATGGCAGACTTGATCGTCAGTTTCAAGTACAGCTTTTGGGATGAAGTAGCAACTGGCTTGAGTCGGGTTCTATGGGTGGAGGGCCTGTTTGGCGTGGATTGTGACAAATTCCGCACAGAAGTCACTTCAAAGCTTTGGGACAGCTTTGGATACTGGATTCATTGACTAAGCTGGATTGACTAAAGGATAAGAGTGCATTGGAGATCAATAATACGCTTACATCGATATCAACCGACTTTGACAACCATCTTCCCACCCGCACGATTCTCTTCCATCATTTTGTGCGCCTCCTCAATCTCCTCGAAGTCAAAGACTCGAGACGGCTTGGCGATATACCTTCCAGCCGATACATCATTCGCAATTCTCTGCAGCGGTACATAGGAGAGGGGAAACCTTGGTGTTCCGTACACGAAGCTACCAAAGAAGCTGAAATGCACACCGGTCGGCATCTGGAGCAGTGGATTGAACTCTGCAATGGGCTCGAGTCATCCCAGGAACCTAGCCAGACAAACTCGGCCGCCGCGCCTTACTATAGCCAAAGAATCCAGAATGACGCTGTTCCCAATCAAGTTCAGAATCGAATCGATGATAGTCTCTTTAGAGAGCATTACCGCGAGCTTGGCCGATTCCAGCTCAACACGGTGCACACCCACCTCGAGCAGCATCTTAACTCTCTCGGCGTTTCTTGTCGTAGCGATGACGTTCGCTCCAGCATTAACAGTGAGATTGATAGCCGCCTGTCCCAAAGCCGAAGTTCCACCTCTGACAAGAAGTGTTTGTCCCTTTGTCAACTCCAGGTTCTGGAACAAGCAAGACCAAGCCGTGGAATAGGATTCGGGGTATCACATTGCCGATCGGAACACGCGTGTACTCTGCGTAGCTGCCGGGGATATTTCGATCCATTCCGCCCATGACGGCGGTGACTTTGGTACCAGGTACGAAAGTGCCTTCGGGGCTAGAGTGGACAGTACCTACGCATTCGATACCGCTGATTTCGGCTGTCTCGGGCCAATCACCGTGTCTCATGTAGATTTCGGCATGATTGAGACCAAAAGCCTTGATTTTAATGACGACGTGGCCTGGGAGGGGCGATGGGATGGGTATTTCTTTGAATATGTAGGTGGATGGTTGGCCAGGGTTGGAGAGAGTGATGGCCTTCATGTTGAGCTGAGTGAGCTTTGTATGGGGATTTGGCTTTGGTGAAATTCCAAGAGTGCTTCCCAGATGATTGAAAGCTTATAGAGAAGATATTTTTATTTCACAGAGAGGAGAAGGGTTCATTTATAGTCATCCTTTGGGGTCGTTGTTGTCCACTTGGTAGAAACTCATTTGTGGCCACATTTTGGATCCCTCAATTCTCTCACGTAAGACAACTGGCATCAACTTGAAAAAAAGACGAACATCTCCATCATAACTTGACTCTAAATGTAGCGCATTTGCGCCAAGTTTATTAGCACGTCAAACAAAGGTAGGTAGAGTCTAAGTGCTGGCCAATAAGCTGAATAATAAACGACCATTGGCTTCTGCACAAACGAGGGCCTGGGGAACCGGATTAAGAATAGTGTCAGGGGAACATGCAGAGTAAGCAAGCGCCTGTCAAGGTAGAAACAAAGCTGGTCTAGGCGGTTCTTTCGCTATTTCAAATCTTGGAAAATGCGTTCATCATCTGCAGATGCAGGGAACTCCACGGAACGTTTAGAGCTTAGTACGAACATGCTGTGCTCACTGGCATCCTGATCCGGATTGAATAGGACTCTCGGACTTCGCGGTCAACTCACTCTCTGTCACACCCATAGGGAGTATGGAGTGCTAGGAGCTGAGACTCAAACTTGAACTTGTGAAGCAAAAGTCAAAAGGGACGTAGAGAAAGACACAACGAAGGAGAGGACAGTCTGAAAAACGATTGATTGTATTGTAACAAAGTAACCCTTCCCTTCTCGCCACCATGCAGCAAGCTCGTTTGGATTCGGGAAGACAAACTAAAAAGAAGGCAGACCCTTAAGCAAGAGAAACCGTGTAAGAGATCACAAGGCCAAGAACAAAGCGGAGTTTCATCCTGGAGGAACTGCGGGGTTGAGGTCGCTTAACGCTTCTAAATCCAAAAACCTTGATTGAATAAATGCATCCTCCTCAAAAGACACTCAGAGAAGCAAAAATAGATAAATAAAGCAAAAAGAAGAAGCTCTCTATGAAGAGAACCTCGGGAATTGAGCCCGAGGTGGGGCTCGAACCCACGACCTTGAGGTGTTCTAGTGATTTGTCTCGTTCAGATGAATGAAACCATTCATAAGAGCCACACGCTCTACCGATTGAGCTACCCGGGCGACCAGGTTTATCGTGATTCGATGCCACCGATATTCTTATTTTGATTTTGAACGTGAAAATGATTTGTGGGCTTTGGAGATAGAAAATTTTCTCGCTTGGGGAGTGAAAGTTTGTTGGTCCGGGAAGCAACCGAATTGGAGGGCGACGAATTGACCCACATAGCAAGCTGTGAGGTGCAAATGTATGACTAAAGGATGGATATGAAGTAGGCGTTAGGTTTTCCATTTCATATGTTCATTCTACTTAAACGCTGATGCTTTCTTGTTCATCCTACTACGTGGTGACTAATATTGAGACAATGAGAACCTGATTGCGTCGCTGCTTACAATACCCCGTTGTCACTTAGCACGATCTCGCTCAAGGAAACCACAATACTTCCATCAACTAGGAAGGAAGCGCAGAAGAGATAATAATATAACGTCCAGATACACACATTCGGAATAAATCCACACTACCGATATTCCATTGTCGAAGGGAGAAAGCCCACCCTGATCTTCGCTTAGGGAGGCAGCTTGTAGGTGAGCCCCTGAGTAGCATCGCAAAGCGACCCCGCCATGGACGGGAACAAATACCTGCAATATGCAAATACAAATCAATTGGTTGTTTGAAGGATAAGGTCTTTGATGGGTGCCTTTCAAGATTTGGTCGTCGTCGTTCCACGGCCATTACCAATGAAACGGTAAAGTACGAACTTAGAATTTAGCCATTGAGTACGTCGTCTGTTGGTTGGGTTCTGTTCCTCCAGTCACATAGTGATGATTAAGTGCTATCAATGGCCACTCTTTACAGTTTAGATATTAGACGGACCCCATTACGTTGATATTGCTAGATACTGTGACAGGATATTCTTCCCCTCTTCCTCATAACAGCTCTTTCGTGCCGAGTGGTGAGTGGGATATCATGTCCCAAGTCGAGAAATGTCCCTCCCGGGAGACAGAAAATGTCTTAAATTACCTGTAGAAGGGAGTAGAGACAACAACCAGGAATGCTACTTCTTTCCAATCGAAATGAGTTGGTTGCCAACAGTTGATTTGGAATGGGTTGGTCTGCTCAGTCAGTTGCGAATTATGTCAAGTGTGGCCTTGCAGAGCACTCACCAACACTGGACAGGTCTTGAATGGGCGGAGACGTAAGGGTGAACGATTCCAGGTACCTCTCAAATGCAGGACTCTGATGAGAAGCCAACGATGTTGAAGTGTTCATGACCTGGCAAAAGTCGAGGCAGGCTCAGCTGCAGGATATGACTTTTGACATCCAAGTCTTTTAAGCAGGTTTTCCCATTACGAAGTCCGTGCTTTTCATCGAAAGACGTTTCTTCGGGAATCTCCGCTAAACAGTCCAAGCCAAAGCCATAAGTATAGTCTGTTCGTGCTGAGGCTCGAAATATCATGCCATTACAAGGTCTACCAGAGGCTGTGCGAGACTTTCTTTTGGAGGTAATTCTCAGGGTCAACAGCATTCCCGCGAGCTTCTTTACATACTAATATTCATTCAGCACAGGCCTTGAGAAAAGAAACAGTTGTAACCTTATTCAAACCAAAGCCAAGTATTTCGAAACTACGTTGTGAAGGCTGTATCAGTTCTCAACGGGTGGCGGCCATCAGTGGCCAGACTGTCTTGTCGCTCAGTCGACCCTCTTTTCCTCTTCGCAACAACAGCCATGTCGGGATTGTCTTGCATCTCATATCAGCTTTGTCTTGCATGCTCATCCAGTATGATTCATTTACAGTAAAGAACGTGGGGGTGGGCTCGCGGACTTGCTTCCTTTTTCTTGACATAAAAGCTGTTCGAGATGTCCAACTTGGATGTTCGGGTGAGGTTGTATTCACATTCCTTAGGCAAGCCACCCAACACTGAAAATAGCCTATCCCCGAATCCAAGCTGATCTCCCTTGCACTTTGAAATGCATGTAACGCCACCAATGGTTGGAGCCCACCTGCCCACCCTATCGCTAAGCGGAGATACCTCCCCCACAGGGGTTACCAGTATTGACTCGAGACATCTCTCCATTTCGCTCATATTGTTCTCAATGAACTGTGCAACCTCACATGCAGTCCTTACACTCTTGATTCTCCAATAAACTACTTCTGGATCTGTGTTACTCCAAGTGCTCTTCTAACGTTGAAAGAGGCGTCGACTAGCTCACGGGGATGGCCAACGACTGCCGATCAACAGTCCCTGTCTCACGCTGTGAGACGTCCTCGCTACACAGGGCAACGGCCAAATAGGTGACACAGGTCTCTGGGGCGGCACGGTTGGGGAATCTAGTGACGACAACAACCGGGGAGTCGGGGACGTGAGATTCTATCCCTTTGCCCCGCTCTAGCCATCATACGATATCTCTTTTCTTTTTCAGAGACAGGACCGGGCCGGCCAATGCGGGAACCCTTGCGTGCATGCAGCAGTGGTCGCGGAAGAGAGAGCCGGTGGGCAGGGAAAGACATCATGCATGAGGCCTAACTGGACGACAGAATGGAATGTGGAAGTGGATGGTGGTGGATGTTGTTTTTCTTTCTAAACATGACCAACAGACTGGTAGTAGATACGTCACTGTGAAAGGAAATTCATCAGTCGATAGAGCAGGCTCAACTGGCACACTCGTTCCAGCGCCCCGGTTTGGTGTCAAATTCCCATCCGCCCGTGCCATGCGCCTTTGCCTGTATCCAGCAGGTTGACGCCCTCCTAGTTCCAAATCTCAATCCAGATATATCCCAATGCCGCTTTCAGACACCAAACGCCACGCTTTCTTCCCAGTTCCATTGATAGACGGTCAGTAAATTTTTGATGAGGAGGCAGAAGAGTAGGACGAAGCCACTGGCGTCTTGAATGCGTCATGGACGACCGCTGGCTTGAAGATGTGCCGAAATATATCTAGGTCAGCCACGACGCTTGATTTCGAGGATGAAGATGAGGAGCTCTTCGATGGTGATTTCGAAGAGGACTTTGAGGATGAGGCCTTGGAAGAGCTTGAGCCTGCAGCGGCAACTCCTTCCGGGGGGTCGAAAGCAAAGACAACGTCTCGGAAGTGACCCACGAACTCGGGATCCTTGAGTAACGCATCCCTCCACATGAGTGCAACTTCTTCTGTGGGGTTGCGGAACCCTGGTCCCAAGCCAAAAGTCCCGATGACCAGATTGATATGCCTGTAATACACTGCAATCCGTAACGCCGTACGGATCTTATCCCTCATGAGTTCCTTCTCCTGTTTGAAGGAGTACTTCTTTTCTGAGCTATCAAGTTTTGGCCGCTTCACAGGGCAGATTGAGATGATTGGCAGGGCTGAACTATTAGCACAAGCTGTAGATTCAGAGTGAGAATCAGGAAGTCTCACATTTGTACTCCTGCCACGGCTCATATTTCTCCGGACCGCCTCGAAAAACAACTAATGACCATCAGTAAAGTGTTTTTCTTTGCCCTCTGAGATGGATCACGAACCAACATTTGCTGAGTAGATACCTGTTGTGGGAGGAAGTGGGTAGTTTGACGATACAGAACTGCCTTCTCCAGGTGTTGTCAGAGTTGCGAACAGGTTGCTCCGCCGGCAGAGACATTCCTCGGGTGACATTACACCTGTCTCTAGTAAGTTTTGATGCACAGGCTTTTGAGGTGCAAGTCACATACCAGCTTCCCAATCTCCCCCTGGTCTCTTGTCGTTTGCTGGCATAATGACGGGAATTGGCGCTGCCCCAGGCTCTACCCAATCAATAGCCAGATCAACCGGATCTCGTTCATAAAATGCTTGTGAAGTGTAAGCGTAAGAACCTAAAGGTCGCGAATGTTGAGATCTTACCGAAACGGCAATGCTGCGCATTTTCTTTCGCTGGAGGTTGAGCAACCATGGCTTCTGAATAGCAGAGATAAGACGTCGCAGGCCATTTATCATTAAGAGTTGAACGAATATAGGGGATATATGTCTTCTTGGCTTCAGCAGCAATTTCAGATGGCTTCGGCTTCGAAGGTGGCATGGTAATGTGTCAGTAAGAAGCAAGTAGCTGGTAAGGGCAAGGGTCTTGTTGAGCTGCTACTGCACAAGGTGAAAATGATTGAGGTGAGATGAACTCGAGATACTCTGTAACCCATCGCATGAGGTGGTGGACATGGGTCATCATTATATAGCCGGAGTCCGATGTGAACTAAAAAGGTGAAAGCCACTCTCTAAGGCTGCATTCCTTGCAAAGCCAATAACAAGGAGCACAGACAATTGAAGGGACCGGCAGCTGAGACCTAGCTATAGAAAGCCCTATGACCAATGCCCCATTTTTGACTTATCAGGAGCGATATCCGGCGGACTATAATCTGAATGCAGTACACAGATGGACCTATTTGGGACAAACACAGTGCTGGGGTGGGGAATTAATTGGCGGCGTAACAGCAGCTATATGAATTATGAATACCGATATGTACGAACCCGGTCCCAAGATCTTATTGTGTTCTGTAAGAGGTAACGCCAGATTGCCGAAGACGATCAAGGCAAAAGGAAGTAAATGGTGTGACCTGGGGGCCAGTGCACTGAGTTCGAGTTCGAGTCCGAGAGTACTACAGCCGGTGAAGGATCAGATGCGGTACTAAAGGCGAAAGCCTGGATCTGAGGATCTGCTGAAGCACCCATCAAGTACATACAGTCTCAACAGTTGGGACGGACTCTGTGCTGCATTCCGCTCGGAGAGATATCAAGGAAGTACAGCGGCCGTAATCAAGCAGAAGCGAGAGGACGCAAGGCGATTCTCTGCGTCCTTGCTGATCCATGGAGGGAGCGAGACAGATGCTATCAAAGCGGCTGTGGATATATTTTCGCCATCGATCCTGTGGTATCATCTGTAAATGTGATCAGTCAAAATGAGCTTGGGCTGTGGCAAAATGGGAATGGTGGAGAGTTAAAAGCAAAAGGTGGTTCAGTGCGAGTGAAGCTGGTGCTGGTGTGGTGATGGCGGCGCGGACGGGTCGGATCGGCTAAGCGCGTTGTTTGGACAAAGGAAGCGGATTTGTTTTGTTTACGGAG